AAACTGAATTTAATGTGGACTGACAGGGTGATGAGTTACAAAAAATATTGATTTGAATGGATTAATAAGAAGGAATGGGCTATTCACAACTTGTATTTCATACAGCACCTTAATCCACGGCAATTTTGTTAATACTTTCCTCTTTGTCCAGTCTCTTAAGGCATCAATGTCATTTGCATTGTCATGTTGATTTGTTTTCTTTTCTTCTCATTCATCATTTTCACTTGCATAGAAACACTTCTAAAACTGGATGAAACTCTGCCTAGAAGAATTGGACTTGTAGTAGAGCACATCCCTGAACTTTGAGCAAGCCTTATGCTGATGCCTTTTGTTCAGTTTACTTGATTATGGCACAGCATGCTAGGGCTATGCCTAAGAGAAAGGATGCCTTTGAGGAGGAATTTATAAGAGAAATTGGCTCGTACCCATGTTACACACACAGCGAAAACCATGAAAACACCCATGCAGTTAGCCTGTTTGCATCGAATTGAAACATTGGTCAAATTGCCAATATCCAGTGAATTTACGACTTATGAATAGACATATATAATCTATCATATTTGCTGTTAATGACCATTAGCATCAGAAAGAAATGAGAATGGCAATCAGCAGTGTCCACCTGACTTTCTTCAGGTTTCAAATAATAGTGTCAGAAAGAGAAAACAACAAAAACTGCTGAAATAGCATATCATAACAAAACGTTGAATAGAACAGAAAAAACATAAGGATATTCATAAGTCCTGTAAATTACAACAATACAATGATTGAAATGTATTTATACTGTCTGCAATGTTAGAAATTATTACATTTTTGTTATTAATAAATCACATTATTTTAAAATGTAATAACTATCAGCAATAATTTAGTGTTTAAAAACAGTGACCAAGTTACACGAAATGTTGAGTTTGTGGTACTCTAGTGTATACTTCTATATAATAAATCTCTTGACGAGACTTACAGCACACAATACCTCAATCTCTAATGATAGAGTATATAAAGGCATATAAAATTTTTTAATAAAACTTCTTTTTGTGTACAGAAATGTACTCATGAATGCAGATTTAAAAGTGTCAATACGAACAGCATTGTAATTACTGCAGGTTCACGGATCCCACACTGAGGCATTATTCAGGGTTTCACCCGCCTTAAGGCTTTAAAAAGATGTTCGAGTCACGAAGTTTTAGGCGATTCCACTCTTCAAATATGGCGAAAGGTAATGTTTATGTGGTAACATAATCATACCAGGTTCTTCTGCTGGCAGTGTTAGCAATTTTTTTGACTAGAAATAATAATTTGAAATTGATGATAAAGTTGTAATCATTAGTAAATATAAAAGTTGCAATCAAAAGAATCATTTGGGAGAAAATTACGATCAACAAGCATCACCTAGTTGCGTTAATTAGAAAGTACCTATACATTAATGAAAAACAGGTGAATTATTATGAATTCACTTATTTAGAAGTCAGTTATTATATTTGGTCAGAAACTAAGGCATGCTAGATGACTCCAATACATGACATCGGAATATTTAAAATCTGTTAAGCAGAAAATCTTCTTGAGAGGAATTTAATGAAAAAGAGAGATACAACCATCTTTGAATTTCATCCTGCCCCTGAGCTAATTTATCAGAATTCAGCTTAGGGAAATAGTTCTATTATGATTCGTATAAATTAAGTAATAAATCATTCAAGTTTTTTGGCTATTAATTTAATTGAGACAGACAGACAAAGTAGACTTAACAGCTACAATGACAGACATAGGTAGCAGCGAATAACGCTTAGAGACTTTTAATTAATAATATATATTAAATTCTTTCCAAAATTATTTAGAATTGCAAAGGGCAACAAAGAGCAGATTAATAATGCGAAAGATTGTTGCAGCGAAAACCTAATGTCTGGCAGCTAAATTTCTGAATACCTTAAATATACTCAAAGTAAATTTAAGTATAAGTATTGCATTGGAACTAAACCATTTTCTCTTCAATAATTTACTGTATTTCTTTAATAATTTATAATTACCTTTAACTTTCGATTCATACTCAAAGTTTTGGGCCAAAAAGGTCACGTAAGAAAGGATGTCCGTTAAACAATAATACTATTTGTTATAGAATTTAATTCAAAATTTAATTTATGATAAAGTCACTTTAATTTCAAAAAAATCTAACGAGAATCATGTTAAACGTAACTGATCCCAATTTAACCCTTCCTGTACGAAATGAGATATTTTCATTTTTTTTTGCTTTTACTGTATGTTACTGTAAAAGCATTTTCAGTATTATAGATTAAAACGTAGTCATTGTATTTATAAACAGAGTAGGTTTTGATTGATTTCATGATAGAATTTTAGTTTTTTAAAGCGTAAATTGTATTTTTTAAAGCTGATCGTGATAGTTGCAAATTAAGCAGTTGTATTTAATGTTTTAAGAATTTCATTATATTTCTTAAACTTTGCTCAGCATTAAAAAAATTATTTATTTTGTTTTTGTTATAATTCAGCATTTTTTTCTTCTTGCAGCAAAAAGCATATTTGAAAACATTAAGCAGTTGTTTATGTAATTTAACAATTCATTTATTCTCTTAAATTTGTGCTAGCAAAAAAATCTATTTTGTTTTTTTATTATTTGGTATCTGATAATTAGCGGATGATGTTGAACAGGAACAGCGCTCGGTAGGTTTCAGGATGGCACCATAAATTCGTAAAGTTAGTGTTTTTTGTTTTTCCCATTTTTTCATGTTGGTTGGTCAGAGTGTGTCCTCGACTGAGGAAAACAAATTGGTCGATGTGGACAAAACGCGGCAATGCAGTGCGCACCAATGCAGTTGCTGTTATGGCCATGTAGTTGGTGCAATTCTGGGATGTTTTTTTTAAAGTGAATAGATAAATGTAAACATGGGCAAAGCCAACGCTAGCAGCCCCAGTTTGTGCAATCTCTAATTTTTCCAAGTAAAAATAGATCGCCTTGCTTCATGAACAAAGCCCAGACAGTCGCAATGCCAAGTTTGTGTAATTCTCTGATTTTTTAGTGAAAATAAATGGATGTGTACATGATAAGCGCAACAATGCCGAGTTGGAAATTCTCTAATGTAAAAAATAAACCTTCACTGGACAAAGCAAGTTTTGGAAAGCAAATTTTTTTTTCTTTTTGTGAAAATAGATGGATGTACATCGAAACCAAGTTTTGCAATTCTTTGAAGTTTTTCGTTTCGAGCGAATACACGATCGTGTGCACATGAACAAAGCGAGCTGTATGTTAACCGAGCTGTAATGTAATGTATTTTATATGCAATGTTTAATGTGTCGTTTCTTTATTTTAAATTTGCATTTTTTTAATTGCAAGTTAATACCTTAGACATCTTTTTTTATTGTATTTTTAATATGTTGATAATGCTTTCTGAAAAATACCGATAATCCGAAGATCTACTCAATAGTAGCTAAATTTTACCCTATAAATAACTTATACTTTCATTATTTTAATTTGTAGTATTTGTTATCGCAATTACACTTGATAATATGTGTCTCTGTGTGTGTAAAGCATTGCTTAGTGTTCCAAATTTGTAGTGTTTATTTTCTTTCATTGTGAGAAATTAAGATTTTTTTTATTTGTAGAATGTATAGAATTCTAGTAAGACTATAGAACATGACGTGATTTAAGAAAGTGATATGAAAGCTGTGTATGACGTTGATCTGCAATAAAAATATTATTTTTTTATTAATGTAAAGTTAAATAGTTTTTGATTCGAGCGTATTGGCAACAGAGAGAAACCAGACGAAAACCATAGAACTAGCACTTTTTTTTAGAACTTGAACTCAATTTTTGGTAGTTTTTGAATCGGCTGTAATCGGATATTGTTCTTTAAATGATTGGCCTTTTAAGCTAAAAATGTAAATAATATTATGTCAATATAACCCCCCCCAAAAAAATCAAAATTATTGCATGATTTATTTTACGTTGAATCATCTAAAAGAAGATGTTAGTATTTTTCTAGTAGCTATCCGGAATATACACCAGCATAAAAAAAAAAAAAAAAAAAAAAAAAAATAATAATAATCATCATCATCAAAGGGGTAAGTCGTGAAATTATTAAGGCCTTATATTAATAGATTTAACGTAAATTGAGTATATACTATTTTATTTAAAAGACACGCAATAATTTGCAACATCTTGAATAATTGTCGCAATAAATTTAATAAAAAATCTTTGAAAATTCTGAAGCTGTATGAAACACAAATATGAGAGATGCGACTTTTGTTACCGTTTAATAACTGGTACAATTCACCTTACTGCATTATCTAACTTAAAATAAAGATTTCATTATATTATTCTATATCTATAGATAATCCCCGTGACGACCAAAATTTAGTCCCCCCCCCCCACCCATTTATGGACGTCATTTAGCTCCGCCTTAGCAACTTTGTTTACGCAACGTATTCCGAGATTTTACTGGCGATTTTTAATGTATACATGGACAAGAAAGGGCACAATGCCAAGTTTGTGCAATTCTCTGATTATTTTTGTAAAGTGAAAATAGGTCGTGTGAATGTACAGCCAAAAGGCACCCACAAATATATCTTTACCGATATAGCTGTTTGTATGTTTGCTGTCATTTTTAAAGAGTTTAACTGAATAATAAATTTTTAAACTGTTCATTTTAATTAGTGGTCACATGAAAGTTACAGAATAACACAGTCAAAAATCAAAATATACTGATAGCTTTCCAGGGCGAGCAGGCACAGATCCAACTTATTCAGAAGCCCCCCCCCCAAAACCTGCAGCCTTATTTTCAAGAAACCTCTATCGATTTCGAAGGCGATCAGATACAGATCCGTCTTTTCCAGCAGCAAAAAAATTAAGGTTGCATTTATGTTTAATTTTAAACTGAAATTAATTACACTAAAGTTCGGACGAAATAAAACACTAGTTTCATTAGAAAGGTATTAAGGATCAAATACATTTTTACAGTTATCACTTATCATAAATATATTTTTGCAGCAGTACTCACAGTGCTGAAATATTTCTTAATATTTCTTTTCTTCACCATATGACTTGAAGACTTTCGTACAATCAACCAATACAAATGGCTAGACATCTTGCTGCTGTAAAAGAAAGAGAAAAACTTAATACAAATCTTATTCAAATATTCATCCTCATGTTGGAAAAACGAACATCAAACTCATTTGCAAATTATGATACAGGGTTTTCGAAGCAGAATAAGACAAATCTTAACATAATTTTCTAAGTCTCACACTCATAACATAAATATAACATGATTTGCATCATAAAAAAAATATACTCATAAAAATGTAAAAATATTTCACACAAACTTACTCCGCTTCCACGTGTTACAGAATCTCACAAATGGCGAATAGCACACAGTTATATGATTTGAAGTTGAAGTAACAGTGATGGTATGAAGTTTTCAAGAAGGAAAAATAAAGCAAAACCTATATCTAAGAGCAAAACCAAAGCAACCTATTTATTCTATTAGTTCCTCAGCGAGCAGTTTTTATATCATGTTTGGGTAAGAGAAGGTTTCCTTTGCTTTCATTCTTTCCTTCATTTTGATGTTGCATAAATACTTGAATATACTAAATACTTGAAAATACTGATGAACAGATATGACTACATTATGAATTTAAAAATTTATTTTAAAATGGCGAAAATTAAAAACTCTTGTATTAAGCTGCTTGTTATTGAAATTTCGGTAAATGCTTATTCAAATCGAAGCAATTTTAAAAAAACGGTCTTGGATTTGCTTTAGGTTTTTTACTTTACTTCATTTCATTTTTATAACTGGCAATACTTTCTTAGATCCCGCGCATTTCTGAAGTCCCGTGTTTGTTTGAACTGTCATTTGTTATAATCAAAAGTTCTTTGATTGTAATATGCGTGAACGTTGACAGACAGAATTTAATTTCGAATAATTGGTGATATTATTTTTTGTGGTTGTGTTTCTCATAATCTAAAATAGACCGTTTGACAAATAACAAATAGGTATTTTATTGCTTAGCAGTTATGATATTTCATTTTACTTTAATATAAAAATAGCTTCTGCCGACAGTTTTTCATCTTATTTTGTGTCTTAATGCAAAAATGTTAACAAAATCGCAAATCACAATTAGTTCATATTTTCGCAAATTGTTATTAACACCCGATAACGCTCTGTTCCCGATAATGCTAAAAATAAAGCTCTATTCTGTTTACGGAACGTTAACGGTAAGACAAAATGAAAGTTGGAAAATCGCAAATACTAATTAGTTCATGTTTTCGCAAATCGTTATCGGAAGTTCATTTCAATTGAAAAAAATAAAGCTCTATTCTATTTATTCTACGTTTCCTAGTCTATTTATTTCTACCTTTCGTAAAATAAGGTAGTTGCATGACCCCCCCCCCCGAAAAAACAAATCGCAAATAATAATTAGTTCTATTTTGAGTTTCATCCGCAAGAACCCGTTGCATTTTACTCGCCAAGCTCGCGGTTCTCGGCGAGAGCCGAGCCGCAAACGTGATATTTTGTAAACGTAATTATTAGTGCATGTAAATTCAAGTTAGCAGACAAAACAATGATTACGCGCATATGGTAGTAAAAATTCACAGATAATAAGCATGTAGATGTCAAAAACTAACTTGTTAAACATGATATACGAAATTGTATTAAATTCAAGTTAGCACAGAAAAGAATATATTAAAGTATAAGACAATATATAAGCATTTATAACGGAAATAAAAATTCATTTGAAAAAATATAAATTAGTATTAATGTACTGAAATTAACCTGTTAAAACGTGATAACAAAAAAAAATTGTCTTAAATTCCAGTTAACACAGAAAACAATATATTCCTTACACCAGTTGCGAACAACGACAGTGATAATTCAACAAAATGAACGCAAGAGGAATGATTGCAAATTTCGAACAAGCGAATAGGATAAATCCGCTAGGTTACCAGGTTTGAACTATTATCGCCAAAGTTGGCAATGTTTACATTTATCGGGTTCTCTGCGGAAAATATAATCTTCAGTATGTCAGCATAAATTGGGGTAAGTTAAATTTTGTCTTATTCTTTGCATGTTGCATGTTTGGTAGTTCAGAATTGGCGCATTTTTGAAATCCAAGATGGCGGCCGAAAAATCGCCAAGGGCCGGTTGTCTGAAACGTGCCAGGAATAGTACTTTTTATAGGTGGTTATATTCACTGGTTTATGACAGGTTTTCAAATTAATTTTACGTGAATACCGAGCAAAGTTGTGTACAATTATTCATTGTACATTTAGTCTCTAAAATAAAACTAATTAATTACTTTTAGCTAATAATGATAATATCATATGACGTTATGAATCAGTAATTCTCACTGTCAGTACAATTAAGTTTGTAACAGAATTATTTATTTTGCTCCTTGGTTGATTATTTTAGTTGATGATATGTCCGTCTAGGCACAGCTTTAGTATTAGTCCTTTTTGGCGAGAAATTCGTTTGGCGACATTTTGGAGCGATAAATGTAAAATGATGATAACCATGGTAACCCTAAATACTGAGCTGAAAAACATGCCGCCATTTCTGTCCACGTAACTTTAACGAATTTGGTAGGTATCAGAGCTTTGATGGCAGGAGGGATAAATTGGATGTTTTTCTTAAAGTTACATTTGTTAGGAAAGCACAACATTTAAAATATTTTTAAAAAGCTAAAATTTGATAGTTAAAACTGATGCTTTTAATATTACATCACATGAGTCTTGACATTTTTTTCATATGTCAACTCTGCATATTATTATAAACTCCACCCCCCCAAGAAAAAAAAAAACACATTTTCAGTAGCATGAGGTAAACTCTTTGTTTCCTTTGCTAAGGAGATCAAAATTACCATGGTCTAAAAATACTTTTTTGCCTCATATTAGAACTATAGGGATGTGTAATTGCATGAATTCATAGGTTCAAATCAGGACCAAAATTATTGCTTTTATAACATTTTTATAATTTGACTATAAAAAATATAATGTTGCTTAGATTATGGAATATATTGCTTATAATTTACAGTTCTCAAATTTTGTAAATCTTACAACCTAATAGCTGTATATGAATAACCTTCACTGAGTATTATTACTTTTATTAATAGTATGTTGACATAACAGTCGACTTTTTATTTTAAATTTTATGCCAATTTTCTACATTACTTAAACATTTTATCTAACAGAAATCTGAATTTTTTGTAATAAAAACTCTATAATAAAAGTAAGAGTACAATTTATATATAAAAATTTGACTACATGGCAAGCACTTAGATACTGATTTCAATGTCTTTAAATGTTATTATTATAAAGTTTAGATATATTCTTATTAAGTTAAGATATACTTTTATTCTCTTATAAAGTTTAGATGTACAGAACAGAAGGCACACTTTGTGCTTACAACTCAGTCAACCACTTGTGGCAAGATAACTTATGATAACAATTAAGTTCAAATGTAAAAATTCAAATAAATTTGTAGCCCAAAGGCTGCACAAATCAATTTAATGCAAAGTTGGTTAAAAACTTAACTGGCATGGAATTCAACTATCAGCAATTATAATGCAAGGCTGAAGACTACAAATCTTTTCTTATCTAGCAACCTATTAATGTGGCCTCAAAAGGCAAAACACGGTTTGTTTTACAAAATAAAAACTTCATTTGGATTCTGGTGAGAAAATGGATGGAGGAAATTGACAGTAAAGATCCCAAGCATAAAAAAACTCTGGAATTAAATTATATTAATAAAATAAAATTAAAAACTCTGGAAAAATAAAGAATGTTACAATATACTTTGTTCCCTGATTAATTATTCAGTACATGAAATAGTGTAATGCATTTTTGTTTGCATCACATACAAATTATTTAGTTTATTTAAATGCTTTCCAAAACTGACAGGATTTTGCAAACATATTGACCATATTTTTCGACCTATAGATGCAACACTTCTTCTCTTCAGAAGTAAGATTTAGAATTAAGAAATAAGAAAATAAGAGAGAATTATGAATAGAAAATAAATACATATGCTGGCTAGCAGAAGAAGGATGCCTTCATAAAGTACTTTTTAAGAGAAACTGGCTATACCTTTCCGTCAACCTTTTCCGTCAACGTATTACCTTTTCCGTCAACGTAAATTTTCAGAAACTGCCTTCCAGTTAGACGGAAAGGTGGAGTAACCAGTGATTTTGGACAAATTTTGAAGTTTTTAGGTCTCTTAGCCATGGCTAATGGAATGAAACTGAATATAACCCCAACACATGTCCCAAAACTTCTTGAAAAGACACTCAGAAATATTTCATCCTCAAACCCTGTGTGAAATTAGGTTTATATTAGGAAACTTCCTCTTTTTCTAAATCGAAAACAGCATCCACGATGACCGGAATGTGATCAAGGAAAGACTTGCACTGGCGGGATATCCATTACTGATCACGTCAATCTACACATTATATGTAAAGTAAATACATTATATACCAAAATATAATGCCTATTTCATTATATATAATGACCTATTAAATCGAGTAAGAAAAACAAAAACGATGGCTCTTTCCTGAGAAATGTGAGCAAGACGCGTTACGCGTCGAGAAAACTGGTAGTCTTTCCCCTTCTATAATAATGTTGTAATGTTACTTTATAATTAACCAAGAAAGCTTATGTTAAAGAAATAAACAAAAATGCCTGTGCCCCTTTAATTCACAGGTGCAATTATAAAGAGCCGCGATTTCCAGTTTGTTTATTTCAATAAATCTCTCAAAACCAGAAGCGCAAAGCAGAAACTAATGCCAGTACATGAAGGTCAAATGCCATATGAATCAACCTATGTGGAAACAATTACCACTTAGCTTTTTACTAGCTTTTAAAAATTCAAATAAATTGTTGCATTTTAATGTCGCGTGTAAGTGACGCTGGGCTCGTAGGAGCAGAATCATTGCATCGCATGTACGGGACGCTGGGCTGGTAGGAGTGGAATCTTTGCGCCGCGTACACGCTACGCTGGTCCTGAATGGGTTAATGGCAATATCCTTAAATGAAAAACTTAACTAAAAGAAAATTTAATCCTAAACCTTATGTAAACATTTTTTAAAAAGTCATCGTTCGACATACATCTTCCAAGATTCGAGTGAAAAAGATAATATGCACTAGCTTGGGAGTGCATAAATTTTTTTTCGGTTTTGTATAATTTCTGTAATATTTTGTATGCTTATAATTTTGTAAACTTAAATTTTATTTTTTATATTTTCTTGTTTATTCAAATTATTTACATTTCCTGTTTTTCGAGGAAGTGAAACATTTAGTTAGACATTAATACTTTTTTTCATAAGATAAAATACCAGCCCTTTGTTAAATTTAAATTGCAGCTTAAACAGTATCCTGCAATAAATTAATGAATGTATGACTGTTAATAATACTTTTTTTTAAGATAAAGTATGAGCCCTTTGTTAAATTTAAATTGCAGCTTAAATAAAACCCTGTAATAAATTAATGAACGCGTGACTTTTAATACATCCATCTTACATAAACAATAGTTCAATGCTATTTTTTCAATTCACTTGAAAACAACTTAAAGCATTTTATGTTGAAACAACTGCCTTTTTGATAATATTGTTGCGTGCAAATGTAATAAATTGAATGCACAAGTCTGATGAAAAGTGAATAAAATTTATTATTATCACAACAAATAAAACAAAAGGCTTAAATTTCCTCAGATATTCATACAGTATTGCAATATCTTGCAGTAGTTATCTTTTAAACTATGAAAACTTTCAACATAACTAATTCAAAGTAGAGAAAGCTAATCCAATTTCACCTGTCTCGATTTCTCTGGATATTAAAGAGTACAGTTATGAGATATATATTATTAAAATGGTAAATGCACGTGCTCCTGTATTTAAATTTTTCCAGCATAGCTTTGTCTTCAAATAAGTCGCATGCAGCATTGCACAGGGAAATGAAACAATTTAATAACAATTCTATTAAAAAAAATAGTAAACTAAATA